TCTGTGCCTTAATCTAGGAAGACGATGCTTTTAGAGCACAAGAATGAACGTGCTGATTAGAGTGCGCAAAGCGTTCCTGCTATCTTACATCAGATAAAGCATACCCACTATTTGCCTAAGCCAAGTACGCATTTTGCTAAGTTCTTGGCCACTGTAAAAAACTGTCCGTAGTATTACTAAATGTACTAAGTCGAAAAGCTAGCAAATGTATTCAAGCATAGAACACTCAACTGCAAGCAAAAAATGCAGTAGCCTGGGTATGCGAGCAGGAAGCTGTCGTCGACGAAAATTGTGAATACTCTATCGAAACATGAACTATGAACAATGGCGACCTATTTTCGCGACTGTTGTAAGTTTTGCTACGGTGCGGTGAAGTATGGTTTGGCTCACTCATCGAGCAGCTGCTCTCACGACATCCATGCCAGGATGTTTTGATTTTTTTCCAGTGTGACTTTTACATGCAAAAAGTTCAGCAAACATTGTAAAACTCAATTTGGGCTGAAATGCACTTCGTGGATAAACATGCATTAAGGCTGTGATCGCAGAAGTGCGACCATAGCTGCCCAGATTCGAACCTGTTCAGAATGCGATCTGAGTTATCCTAAGCAGCTCGCTAAATTGTGCGCAAGCAGGAATATGATAGTGTCTCAAAACAGGAAACGGCTGGAAGCTTCTGGTTTTTACGGAAATGTTACCATATGATGAGTTCACAAATTGTCAAATTGAGGAGTTTCGTTCGCCTACCTTTTATACGTTTAATAATGAGCCAGCAGTTGAAGGTGCTAAATTTGCACTCCGTGCTTCAAGACCGCCCTCGGTTTCCCGCTATTTGCAGATTACCATACACAACAAATCACGTCAATCTGAGGTCGCCTCATTTCAAGCTCATAGTCAACGATGGTAGGTATAAAGATAAAAATCGCCGGTCTGTTTTTCTGTATATCGGCAGCATTGATGGCGACTACCTCGTGTTCAATGAAGAGAAGATTTACAAAGTTCTTAGTGAAGGAACACCGAAAAAGCCGAGGGCCCTTCGGGGTTGGCAATCGCACCTGAAAGACACAAACGTGCCCCCTGCCAAAAGGCGGTAAGTTAATTGAACTTCTATTGATTGACTAATTTTTGATTTGCAAGTGTTCTCCTCCTCCACCACGGGCACCCAAATCACCACCGCTGAAGGCCACCAGCATCTCTTCTACTCAACCAGGGAGTGGGAGTGTCGTTAGCGTATCAAGGACGGACGACGAATTTGAGCGCATTGTAAAGGCTGTCGCAGCCGCTCTTGTGATGAAGGAAAAGCCCGCCAAGGAGATTGAAGACCCTTCGGATGCGATTCTCGATATTGAATAGACTCCAACCGTTTATTCAATGCAAGTTGTTTCAAGTTTTGATGCTGTTAATAAAATTTTGTTGATGATGTGTAAAACAACGACAAACCAAGTTTAAGTTTGAAATCTTTCCTTCCGCAGCTGGTGCTACCTTTAGGCCCGTATGTACGCCCGCCGAGGAGAGGAGGGGATTGAGAGGGGATGCGTCATATCTCGCTACTCTAGATATCTTTCTCCTTTCTCCTCTAATTTGCTTACGAAGTTTCTCATACCCTTATAACTGCGCACAGTGGTGCCAGTTACTGCCATACAAGATTGGTTTTTTGCCAATTTGTGTGATCCCCAGGGGATTCCCAGAGGATCACCTCTAAATTTCCAACTGATTTATCTTCCTGAGAAGTCAATGAAAACGTTGTAAAATTGTGCTGTGGATATACTACGGCACTGCGTTTATATAGTAGAAATAAGTGAAATCTCATGATATCGAAATCTTCGGTAATCTCCGGCTCGCGAGCTAGGAATTATCGGAAAATTTACGATCTTCAGATTCCACTTCTCCTGTCGAAAACATGCTTAGCAGTGTCGTAGTAAATCCTCAGTACATTAACAGCGTTTTCATTAACTTCACAGGAAGGTAAATTACTCTGAAATTAGAGGTGATCCCCTGGGGATCCCCACGGGGATCACGCAAAATAGCGAAAATCCAATCAATTATACCAGTAACCTGGCGCCAATTATGCGCAGGTAATAAGGTATGGGTTCGTAGGCGAGTAGAGAGGGAAGAAGAGACATACCTAGAGTAGCGAGTTATGAGGCATCCCCTCTCGGTTTCCTCCCCTCGCCAGCGGGGATGTACGGGGTGTATGTTGAAAGGCGCGCGGCCTCTATTGCCGGACTGGACTCGTACTCCACACAAGCGAAGTTTTTAGACACCGAAAGTTTGTCAACATGTCAGAAAATGTAGTGGAGGATCTCATAGCCGGAACCGAAAAGGAGGGAATTGGTTTGCACCTTTTTCCCGCATTTTTTGATTAGAGGCCGATCAACACGCGCCTTTCGACCGTCTCCCGAATGTAGGTACGTGCATACGAGCCTTGGTCACCGTCATCCCTGCGACACGTATAGCTAACATGTTGCTAACATACAATGTTGGCTTTCGGCTAACAGCCGAACCTTTCTGCCATCAAGTTGTTGCATGTTTCCAACATGTTAGCCATACGTGTCGCAGACCAAAGACGCATCAGGGGGAGGGGGGGGGGGGTGTGAGGCGTTAGGCGACAAACCCGATTTTTTGGATCTAGAAAGACTTCCCGTGCAAAACGTCTTCGTACCAAAAACATGGGGGGGGGGGTCAGGACCGATACATTACTCGACTCCATTGAAAAATGGCGCATAGTTTTGACGTACTGGCCTTACGTTGATTGCGTTCTGCACGTTTTGTCGCCTAAAGCTTGCCATCCCACCAGGGGTAGCAGCAACTGTGGAAAGGACGATAAGGTCGGCTATGGGCCTTGGGCATACTTTTGCCAGGAGTAGATAAACACTGGCAGGTTTTATTTCAGAATCGAATCGGAAGAAAGTTGGGAAGTAAGTTGGCACATATGTTTACACTTCGGAGCGGAGTGGTGTCGTAGGCTACTTTTCGTTATCATTCTATAATAAAGAATGGCAAGGTCTTGCACGTCCTTGACAAGTTGCGGACTGAGGCAAGTAGTGGGTGCGGAGGGCACAGATTAGTCAACTATGGTAGCGTGTTTTCGTAGGGGTGAGCACAGTTCCTCCTCGTAAAATGTTTTCGAAAGGGGTTGGCTATTAAGCGCAAAAATTCTATAGTTGCGGAGTGCCGACACTCTCGTAGGGTTGCTAACAACCCCCCACCCTCCTCTTTCACAAGTTTGTACTTGGAGGTATGACTGGGAACTCGTTTCTTCCGTAAACATGCTGTGGTAGTTTCTCAACGTTCACGCTTCAACCGTTCACATTCTCATCTCCCTGATAAAGTTCTTGGCTGCCCATAATTGGTTAAAGTTTATGGCTGCCCATAACCAGTGAGGACTGATTGGATAGTTGCTCTTCTCGAAATAAAAGGTGAGCGGCCCGTAGGGCGATTCCTATAAGTCTTTAAGGCTCGTAGGGAAATTATTTCTCACAACTCCGGTGTGTTTCCTGTCCGTTGTCCAGATGATTTGTAGGAGCCCACGAGGCAGTTCCACTAAAGTGATCTGTTGGCTTCCTATAAGATTTTCTTTCGACAATTATCGGTTTGAGGGGATTTGTAGGATGGTTCTTTCTCAAAGTATCGGTCCGCAAGGAAGACACTTTATTTTTGTAATTATGTTCTAAAGGAGGTTGAGTTGCATATGTATCATTATATCCCCTACAGTTCTAAGGGTAAACCGTAGGGGTTCTTTCTCAAATATGAGTTTACAGGGAGGGAGAGGACTCGTAGGAAGTCATTCAGTTATAGTTCCATGAGCTTCTTATAGAGCAATTTTTAGGCTCGTAGTTTTTCTCAAAATGCTGGTCTATAAGCGGCTTGGACACCTCCTAGAATTGCCGGTCTGTGGGTTTTGTATGAGACGTAATTATCGTAAGCCGTTCATAATTGTTTTTTTAGGATAATGTTCTATAAGGGACTCTCGCAGAGCTGTTCCTTTTCAAATATCGGATTTTGAGCGGCTTTTAGGGAAATTTTCTCTTCAAGATATCGGTCTGAAGGTTTGCCAGCTCATTGTCAGTTCTTTTTTGATATATTGGTCAGCAAGCCGCCCATAGGGCAGTTCTATTCAAAAAAATGGTCTGCAAGAGGCCCATGGGGCAATTCTTCAAAAAATATCGGCAACCCTTCCCCTCCCCCAGACGGCGACTCCTTCCAATGATTCTCGATTCGCGGACGACTTATAGGGCAGTTTTTTTCTGAAATATCGATCAGTTTGGTTTGTAGGTGGCCCATAAAGCAGGTCTATCAAAAACTAATGGTTTGTATGGACTCCAAGGGCAGGTTTTTCTCAAAACACCATTGTGTAGTTCTCTAAGCAGCTGGTAGTTTCATTTTTTGTCAAAACTTCGCTCTTTGGCTGCCCATACTCCGACTTTCGTTGCGTACCAGCGGCGTTCCACTGTCCTCTGAGCGCAGCACGCAAACGCCGCTGGTAGGGTAGACGCACGCCGCTGGTACGCTAAGGTACTCCGCTGGCAGGAGAATGGTACGCCGCTGGTACGCAAATAGGATACGACGCTGGTACGCAATTTCAGGCGAATTTGCAGTCCCGCAGATTGATAACACTATCAATCAACTGATATTTTGATAAATGATGCTATTTCGCCCTTATTTTGCTTTCCTCAGTCCCTTTGCTTTTCGTTTGTCATTTTTTCTTGATTCGATTTGCATTTCGTATTGTTTCGTATCCGTTTCTCATATGGCATAGATAAAGATAATATATTTATTTATTCTACAGGATTATGGCATAATCAAGAAAGGATTGGAATTGGAAAGGATGAGTATCGGCATCATCAATAAAGCACACGGAGTTCAAATAGCACCAACAAATATCACAAATACGGAACATCACAGGGTAGGTTCACAATAATAATAAACTCTATAAATATCAACAAGTAACAAGTAACAAACACACAAAAAGCAATGTACAACAGTGATTATCACATGAAAATTCACAATGTTTCAGCCTCGTAATAATCATTTTTGTCCGTTTTCCTTCTGGTAGGTGGGGCATCTCCCTCTTCCAGATCAGCGCCCGATCTTTTCGATTGTCGCTGAAAAAATGAAAGTTGGATGGGCTATTCAGTTATCCTAAATGACTAACGTTGTGTTTTATCCATTTTTTTGTGGCCGTGTCATACTTGTAGGCTCTCACGTCGCGCCTGGAAAATAGTTTTAGCTGTCAAGGATCAAAATTCCTATCAAACACAATGCTAGTTGTAGACATTTGAAGTAGATGGGTCTCCACTCTCGACGCTCACGAGTAAGGTCTTTTAGATACTCGCATCTCTCTTTCTCAGTCGAACCGAGACTCTTGAAGAACCTACAATGACAAAGTTGTATCTATAATGTTTACTTACTTTGGGTGACTAACTCAGTTTCTTTGAGATCCTTAACTCTTCCTGGGAACAGTTCGTCATGGCCGAGGCCGAGCAATCTGTCGTTCATAAACGAATGATCAAAGTGATCTATAAGTTTTTATTAGATAATGACAACGTAGCCTGCAAAAGATATGCAAATCTCACGACTTGTAATGACTTCCTCTTCGCTGTCGACAGAGTTGATTCGTTGTTCTTCAAGACGTCGTAGATTCTCCGTGTGTTGCCTCGCTCGCTGCCGGTTCAGTCTTCTTTCTCGTATCACTGCTACTCTAGCTGCAATGGTTACATCATCCTACATATGTATATATGAACAGCATGCAAATAAGTTAGATACCTCCATGTCGTATGCCACTTTCTGGACGACTTCGCCAGTGATGATGAGACATTCGGAGGCATTTCTGAACTGTTTTGTTCATTAGGGGTCATACATGATGATAAGTAAGATAAAAACATGAAATAACATAAACAAAAGCAACAGAAAAGAAAACAAACACATGAACAGGAACAAAAACAGCAGAACAGAAAACTTTCAAATCCGTTTCGTTCCTGCCCTTGGACGGAAAACAGAAAAGAACTTGAGAGAAGCCTTTTCCGGAACTCTTCAGCAAGGAAGAAAGGCTTTTTAGTAAAAAAATAGTAGACTAAGAAAAAGAAGGAGAAGAACAGCTAAAATTTAAGCAGAGAAACTCTTAGATATAAAAGCTGTCAATAGCTCACCTTTAGTTTCAATGATGGATGTTGGTTGAAGATTCTCGTTGATATGGGGGATACTCGCAGGAGATTTACGCGGTGATGTAACAAATCTGTAAATGCAAATGCAAGGTCATCAAGGTCATTTTATATATGACCAATGACCCATGACCTTATATGACCAGAAGTGATAGCGAGTAACAGAGAGTGAAAGAAGATATGAGAGAGATAACCTATCGAGTGAGACACAGAGTTCAGAGAATACAAGAGAGATAATCTTATTGACGATCCTTGAGAGTTTAAGGAAAAAAGGAACAAAAGAGTGGGAAAATGAGCGTCCATTACTAAGTTTGAGTTTCAACCGACGGATAGTACGAAAGAAATAAGCTTTCGAAAAGAATTTCTTGAAAGTGCGAGAAAAAAAGCGTTTCTCAAGGCGTAAAAGTTCGTTGAGATGAGGCAAAATACGAAAAATAACACAAGAGCGTCCATGATGGAACGCCGCTGGTCCGCAATTGCATTGATGGAACGCCGCTCGCCAAAAGACGGTACGCCGCTGGTGGGGCGCATTAAGGAACGCCGTTGGTACGCTAAGCGCACGCCGCTGGTACGCAAAGCCATTTGGGTACGCCGCTGGTACGCAACGAAAGTCTGAGTAGAGCAGATCATATGTGAGCGCCTCATACGACAGTACAGTTTGTAGGAGTTATAGAGTAATTTAGAATATTTTAGAATATCGGGGTATAACAGTGCTTTCTCGTAATCATTGGTCTATGGAGGAATGGGGGGGGGGGTTGTAAGATAACTTTTTCTCAAAATATCGGTCTGTAGGGCGGCCTTAGCGCGGTTCTTTCTCAAGTATGGGTTTGTTGGGGAGGGGGGGGGGGGGGTTAAGGCAGTATTTTCTAAAACCGGTCTAAAAGAGCTTCCCATAGGTTAGTTCTTTTTTTTACAGACGTCGGTCTGAAGGGAACTTACGAACACCTTCAACGCATCGGTCTGTTAATGGCCTGTGGGGTATTTTCTTCCTGTAATTACCGGTCTGCAGCGGCGCATAGGGCTGTTATTCTTTAATGTATGGGTTTGTAAGTACGTAAAGACATGTTTTAAGCTCCTCATAGCTTTTCTTGTTCTCAATACATTAGCTTGTAGTACACATAGGACGGTGGCTTTTTGAAATCGTAGTCTCCAAGCGGCTCTTAGGCATTTTTTGAAGTGTGGCTTTAAAGATTTGAAGGGCAATTCCTCCTCAAAATATCGGTCCGCGGCCCATAGGGCGACCTTTTCTCGAGGTGAAGGACCGCAAGCGGCTCATAGGGTCCTCTTTATGGGCAGTTCTTTTTGAAAATATATTTTTGAAATCGGTTCGTAAACAGTCCACAGGGCAGATACTCCTCAAGATAAGGGTCTGTAAGCGGCCCATAGGGCATTTCCTTGTAACAATAAGCGTCCGCGGCCTGCCCGTATGGCAGATTTTTTCTTCTATAGGCAGCCCATGCGACTTCCTTGCAATATTGGTTTGCAGGGGAGGGGACGTATGGCAGATTTATTCCAGAATATAATATCACTTGTAGGGGTTTGCTGGACAGGACTTTTTCAGGTGACCACTCTGCAGAAGGCCCGTAGGAAAGTTTTCTTTTGAAATATCGTTCTGGGGGATCGCAGAGCAGGTTTACGTACATCACTCTGCAGGCGGCAGAGCAGTGTTTATTGTTTACAGAAAGTAGTCTGTAGACGACACGTAGGGCATAAAAAACAATGCTTGTTTACGCTATTGAAACTTTTCGGAAACCAAGGTATTTTTGAATGTTTAGCTGAGTTATTGTTCGACTCTCGAAACGATGGTGTAGACTACACCATCGTTCCCAGAGTCAACTGCTTTGTGACTCTCAGTAGAGATTGTTGAAAAAATTTGGTGAAAGAAAATTTTTTGAAAGGACTCAAAAGAGTCAATTAATCAGCAATAAGGATTCTTGGAAGAGAGTCAAAAGTCGTTGATTAATCAGTTTTATGTTGCACAAAACTGATAGAAAAGGTATAGAATGTAGAGCTAATTGTGTTGACGATTATGCGGCTACGATGTGTTGCCCCAACCCACTTGCAAGCGGCCTCTAGGATAGCTAGTCGATTTTAACGATTTTTAGTGCAGAGTTCACCTACGGGGATGGGAGTTGGCACGGGGGGGGTATCGAGCATGCTGATTACGAATACAACATTAGTTTCTGGAATTATTCATTACTTTCATCGATTTTATCGATTTTTTGCCAGATTTGGGCCACGGGGCTGGGTGTTGGCACTGAGGGTATGTGAGCATGCTAATTACGAACACAATATTAGTTTCCGGAACTGTTCATCACTTTCATCGATTTTATCGATTTTTTGCCAGATTTGGGCCACGGGGCTGGGTGTTGGCACTGGGGGTAATCGAGCATGCTGATTACGAATACATAAGTTTTTAGAATTTTACCTTTATCGATTTTATCTTTTACTTTGCAAAATTCGAGGTACAGGGCTGGGAGTTGGTACAGGGGGGGGGGGAGGATAAGTGAGCATATTGATTACGAAGACAAAACAACGATAGGAAATTGTCATGTAAAAGTGGGTACAGGGAAAGGTTGTACAGGATTAAGAATGGTAACTCTCAACATAGTAAATTGACAGGGGCCGGGCGGAGCCGGGTATGCAGCTAGTATAATATAAATGTTAAGAGCTTATCTTATAGCCGAAACGCAATAGCACAAATGTGGATGAAAAGTGCTTGAACAAATTTGCGAAAAGGGAAAAATTATACCATATTGTCACATTTTTCAACATTTTTTGTAGGTCAAAATTCCAGATTATCGGTTTTTTCAAATTTCCTACGTACTGATCAGCTAAACATTTATGTATAAAACTGCCAACAGAAGGCTACCCTTAGGCTTACAAATGAGCAAAATTTGGAAATTGTTTTCTGCAATATCCATGAGCCACCGAATGACCGTAACGACTACCCATATTGAGGTGTCGTTATCTCAGCTTAGATGATCTCAAAGAATGTAGCGTGCATAATGTAGACGGATTCTACTACAAAACTAAATCTTCGATCAAATGCCACCATTCGCGCTTAAATTCTAACAGAGAAATAAATCCAAAGAATTCCTAATATCAAGTGCGGTTGAACGAAGCTCTGTAAATTTTCAACAAATGAAGCTAGATACCCGTTTTATCCGGTCTCAGATAGCATGAAAAGGAATGCTTAAAAATATGTTAAATCTTTTCAAAATAAACTTCAATGGAAATAAGTTCTAAAACAAGGCCTGGAAGAACTCTTGTTAATTTTGCACTGAATCAATATAAGTGACTTCAGATCGGCGCAATTAAACAAGACCAGAAAGTGGTTAATTATTTCGAAACTCTGACAACTGTCAGAGACATGACAAACACCGAAATTACACTAGCAACCGGACAATAGTTTTTTTTTCTTTTTTCCAATCTATTAATTTTTTGAATCCATAGTTTAGGTTCAGTACGAACGAGTACGAAAAGTAATGGGAGAGCGATTCACTAAATCTCGAAAAAGGCTTAGCGGCTCACAAAGCTCCCATTCGGGTTGATTAGCGCTCGAAAACTACACGAACGAGCTTTTTATTGGATTCACTTTTGAAGAATCAGAGGAAGACGGAGCAATTCCATTCTGTTAAGAAGCGGCAGCTGCCAAGTGTTGAAAGTGTCCACTACTTCAGAATGTAATTGTAAGTTTGAAAATTGCGGAAAGCAGCAGCATCGGTAAGAAAAAGATACGTATTGTGACTTTTGTACAAGCTCTGGCTTAAATTTGAATTATTTTGGTAGAAATCCGCTTTGTATGACCAGTACTGTAAGCGGCAAAGGTTCTGTATTCTGTTGCTTTCTTTGATTTTCTTCAAATGAGTTTCATAAATGAATATTTATGACAGTTGAGACACTTGATTATACTCATGCCTCGTAGTACAAATCTCTTACCGCATTTCCATAGATACTGCTCTCTTCAATAAAAAGGACCCCGAAATAAAAGTTGGAAAGATAAAGGGTGATTGAAGATAACAACTAGTCAGTTCAATTTTGCGTCTATTGCATTCGTGTACATAAGTTGAGAGAGATTTCGCCAGACAATTTTTGAAAGGATTCGTATCATGAATCATCTTTTTTTTCGGAAATAATCGAGATAGAGATGCTTAATCGCAATGTATTTTGTGTTGCAAAGCTTTTTTGGGGATTACCGGATCCGGTTTCGAATGTGCTCATATAAGTGAAACAATCAATGAACTTTGCTACACTTCATTCTGCTATGGGCTCATCGGAAGGTATGCCTGCAGCACATTAATTTTAACATCATCTCATTTAACGCCATATTTAGAAGCAAAAGCTATTCTGGCGCCGGCAATAGGCCAGTTTTATGAGCTTGCAGCAGCCAAAGAGTACGAAAAGGTATCAGTATCTGAAATTTCTACCCGCTCATAATTACGTCTTTTTAACTTGCTTGATCGCATTTATCACTAATTTGAAAATCTCCATCAGCTTGCTGATTTCTACGATCCGGACGCTGTTCTTGTACATGCTGGAAAGGATGCGATCTACGGAAGAGAAGGTGAGCAATATCGAAGTAAAAATTGCTGTGTAATTTTATGTTAAAGAGTACTGCTCTTTATTAATTGAGACAAATTTGTGTACTTTTCCGTTATCCAGACCCATTTTTAGGATCTTCTCGTGAAATACGTCCTTTAGCTTAAAAATTTTTTTCGCAGATCTTATGAGGACAGTCTCTCTGTCATGTATAAAGATAAAAATCAACACGTTTAGGCCCAGTTTGACATGTTTTATCAAAATCATTTGCGGTGAGGTACGAGGGCGTTTGAAATAAACTAAAAACTAAATAAACTACTAAATCAAATAACTCAAAAGCTTTCGGTGGTACTTTATACAAGTAAAACCGTTTAAAACGTTCATTAGAACATCTCGATAGCTTTCAGCAATGATCAAGGAAATCTCTTTCTTTGAATTGTTTCCGCCATGCGAATTTCACCAGGAAAGAGAATAAATGATGACTTGAAGACCTGGCTGCCGTTTGTTTCATCGCTTAGATGATAGAACATTGGCCCATTTCTTTGTTTGTATTTATCGTATACAAAATGTTCTTTTATGATGTTAAATTTCAACTATGAAACTTTTAACTAAAAATAAGGTTGTTGTCAAATGGAAGACAGACTGAACTTACAGATAGGTAGGCTAAACAAACCTTTCACAAAACCTGTCAAATATGTATATGACATGTCAATTTTTTAATATGTGGCAGGAGGTTGACTCTCCATACTGTAAAGTTTTTACCAGAGTTCAAATAGAAAAAACGATATTTTTGAAAAATGCTTTCGGATGACGGCAAAGTGCCCAAACTTGAATATTTGTGGAAGTATCTTCTATGCCATCATTTAACTCAGAACCATTATTTTAGCCCTACTCAAGGATTTTCAAGATTTTCTTACACGTGCGGGTAAGCTGACGCCAAAGGTAATCTACCAGTTGTGACTTTGAATAGTCGAAAATTTTATGTATTTAGAGTTCGGATTCACACTACAGAATGTGTGACGACTTCATCATTATGACGGCCGACTATGAGACAGAATCGGAAAAGATGGGATTGCTGAAAGGAAAAATCACTCAGATTTGGCGTAAGAAGAATGATAAATACTTGATACTACATTTCGAGGATGCACGGAAATAGACGAAAATCATTTTTTGTTTGATTGTCTAATTTAGCGATCTACATGTAGACCGAGTTTTGTGCCTAATCGGTAAAGCGGATTGAATAAAATGCACTTTGCATAAACAATTGCCACAGGTTTAATTTGTAGAACTTTTTTTTGATGAGTGTGTTGCGGCTCGGTGGGCTCTGCGCCCCCTCACCTAGTGCTCACTGCCTTGCGCCCAGCTCCTGTCCCCGAAGGACTTCCGCCACTGCGGGTGCGCGCTAGCTCACAATGGCGCGTTACGCCCACATGCACACAGAACAATAAGTATACATAAATTTACTAAACAAATAAACACGAGAAAAAATACACGATATAAATAAATATTAACATACTTACCACGGGCAGAGTTAAAGGCAGTGTCCGGGCAAAAACTCGAATATGAGATTTTTTGCTTACCTGGGCCTATCCGCGATCCTGAATCCGAAAATCCACATGAGAGAGCGCGAAAACGGCGAAAAAGCGCTTTTCCGGAAGCCCTCCATACTGAACGCGGACGAGTATCGGCTGGCCCCGTGCAGAGTCAGAGAAGCAGAGTCAGCAGTAGTGCATTGGAGCGTCGTTGAGCGCTATTCCTCGTGCCTTTTTCTTCTTTTCGTGTTTTTCTGCCTTCCCTGATCCCCCTCGTGTCCGTTTGATTTTATACCATTTGATTTTACTTTATTTATTAGTTTTGTTTAGGTGTGAAACTCGAAAAATGGTCACTGGGGGCTCATCTCTGGTAATCAACTCTTCCTCACTATTTGGACGAATTGGCTCACTCCCTCCACCCCCTTCCTCATATGCATTGTTCTCACTTTCACGATTCAGGAATAGGCTTAGTCAGAAAGCATCATTTTGGAAAGGTTTAGGTCATATTTTTGTTTTTGAAGGTATGGAAATGAACGAAATTATACCAGACCTGTTTTTGGAGGTTTACGGAATGCTACTGACATCAAACAATTGAAGAAACACCATTTACAAGTAAGTATTTCTATAACATGTGACTTCTGTAAACAGTTGTGATTTGAAACTTTGTTTGTTAGTGCGTCGCATCTGTGCACTTAGCGGCTCATCATCCTGCCCTTGAACCCCTCAAGGCTAGCTGTCATTCTCCACTTACTGAACTATGTGAGCTTGCTGTTTTTCTTTCAGGTCCTCAAAATACAGATATCAGATTGCTCAACAGCCAATATTTCATCTCACTTCGCTGCTACAAACCAGAAGCAAGGTATGCATTCAATCGCACAATTTTGTTTATATCTGAAATAATCAATTTATAACGGCTGTACTTGTGCATTGTCTGGCTGGCGTTTCCCGCAGTGCCACTGTTGTAGCCGCATATTTGATGACACTATGCGATATGTCATTTTTCAACGCTATAAGCTTCATATCACGAAAATGGCCGTTTTTGATCCGAATTTCGGTTTTCGCATGCAACTATGCAACTTTGCCGATCGAGTGAGTTCCGTTTTAGTTACATTTTCTAGTTTAATTTACTGATTTATATCACTTAGCCATTTCTGCGCGTATTTCTATACCTTTTTTTTCTCAACACAGGTTTTTTGGTTGCGCTAGGGGAAGGAATTGAAACATGTTCAAGTGTAGATCAGCTCACTTTTGTTTTTGGCGCTTGATAGTCTTTGCCTCATCATAAAATAATCACGCTAGTTTTGAGTTATTGCGCAACGATGTCCCGTGAGAAACATCATACCAAAGCAAGGTCAGGTCAGTCAAGGTCAGTCATTCAGGCAAGGTCATTTGACGCAGGTCATCTGTCGATCAGGTCATCTATCATCTTTTGTGAGATATCTTTCTCGCAGTCATGATTATCATATTTTATGCCCAGTAATGGATGAGATATGTTTTGCAGGAGATATGAGTGAACGTCAGCGGCTCTGTGAACATTTTGGATCATACATATTTGACGCGCAGTGGGCATTAGATAGAGCAGTCACTCGCTTCAAGGTTGGTCGTTCCAGCTGTGCGGTTGTTTGGTGTGTGCACGTCCTTGTATTATGTCATACTAAAAGTAAGTGCAGGTTGACCACGTATTTGTTGCTTCAACATATTGCTGGGCATATTGTTTTGTGTACTTGCAATGCCGCTTATGTATTTGCCGTCCAATAGTTATTCCGAGGATGCGTGTTAGTGGGGGGAGAGAGCTGATTTGCAGTTGTTGTCTGACCGTACAGAAGCTTGATGATTCCACTCTATCTATGAACAATCTGATAGATATTTACGCATTCTGTTCATGGAAAAATGAATACATGTTCATGTGTCCACCTGGCTATGCTAACAATTGATTACAAGCACTCCATGTGGTCATCATTAGTGTCTTTTGATGAGTCAGTGCTCCGTTTATGTTTGTTTTTTAGATATACATGGAAGGCCAAGAAATGTCTTTCCCATCATTGGGTATGTACTAATTTACGTCGACTCGAAACTCATTCTTTGATGGAAGTTGCCATGATCTGAGAGATTTGGGATTAGGGGTTAGTAACGAAGTTGGAAGCGTTCGATCATATAACCATCCTGAATGGTTGCAGGACGCTAACGAGAAGAAGTAAAAAGGAACTTGTACGCATTTTGAATGGCAGATGAATGGAGTCGGTCTTGAACATCATCATCTGTTCGGCTTTGGCATTTTAGACGCCGCTGAAATGGTGAGTATCTTGACAGTGTGGTTTTACTTATACTTCCTGTTATCATAACACTAATCTCGTATTGAAGGTAATGCTTGCGATGGTCTGGAAAACAGCACCACCCCGTTATCATTGCACCGGTGGTACCATCGATACGACTTACATCTCAGTAAGTTCATATGTAATCATATTAGTTGCATATTTAGCATATTTCTACTTATCTGATAAGATTACTGTTACTTCCACTTTCAAAGTCTTTTATCTTCCTGGAATTGCTGCAGATTCGTACTGAGGATATACTACAGCACTACTAAACATGTTTATGGTGGAAATAAGCAAAATCTCAGGATATCGAAATGTTCGGTGAACCACTGCTCGAGAGCTAGGGATTATCGAAAAATTCACAATCTTATTCCATTTTTCCTGTCGAAAACATGCTTAGCAGTGCCGTAGTAAATCCTCAGTACAATTTTGCGGCGTTTTCATGGACTTCCCAGAAAGATAAATGCCTCTGAAAATAAGAGGTGATCACCTGGGGATTTCGTGGGGATCACACAAAATGGCAAAAAACCAATCTTGTGGAAGTAACCTTGATCCATAATGCGCAGGTATAAGGGTTTGAGAACCTTTATTAGCAAGATGAAGAAAGAAGAAGAAATATACGTAGTAGCGAGATATGAGGCATCCCCTCTCAGATCCCTCTCCTCCCCAGCGGGGATGTACATGCGTAAGGGCCAAAAATATCAAGGCTACAATTCGTGCGCGATAAAATGAAACGTTGACAAGTTTACATAGGGGGGTGAAGAGTAGGATGGATAAAATCAGTCATAATTTTCGAATGAGCCGCGCATCTTCCGCACATGGTATAACGATTGTTGGGTACATAGAGACAGGCAATGGTAAATCCAGTACGACATTTTGGTGGGTATTCAGTCCTCGTCTGATCCTTTTCGAGTAGATGAAGGCACATCAGATTCTTGGCCAGACGTTGACGGTGGAGCAGACGTAGGCTGACCAGATGTGGACGGTTGATCCGTGGATGACTCAGATCTACCAGATCTTAGGGACATGTACTCGACCAAGATCTCTTTTCTCCAGATGTGCTCCACGGGAGTCTTGTAGGGAATTTCTTTCGGAATGTCGCTGTATTTTCGGATAGTCATGGTGGAACGCTCCACTATTCGTTCTCCACGCATCTCTGCTAGACGTAATTCATTCATGTGGAGAGTCGAAAGCATTACATAGGTCGGGTAAGTAGTTATCGGCCTGAAAGCAAATTTATTTCTGCTGTGGTAGTGTTGAGAAGGATTTTACTCACAGGTAAATTTCCTTAGGGCAGTAAACCCTATCTAATGCTTTTTTGCTCTCACATTGACTAGTTCCCCCAAAAGGGCTCATCCTAGCGAGGTCTTCCTGAAGCTCTTTCTCCAAAACTAGTGCTTTCAGCTTCTCATGGGCTTGACTGCCAAGCGCGATGATCGGCTTTTGCCCTTGTGGCCATTCTTGGTGGTCACATCTTGTTATTGGGCCAGTGTTGACGTCCTAAAGCTCTTCTACTCTTATATTGTTGATTTCTAAAAGCTCAGTAGCATACCTGGTTCCATTCGTGGATGCCCGCCAGGTGATAAAGGCACGTGTTGAATATGTGTCTTGTAAACTGAGCATTTTGTGCTCGTGCCCCTTCTCTGACAGCATGATATAGGTGTGCCTTGAGGGGGCTTATCCAATCCTTCAGGTTTGTGCAGCCCCTCAGCCGGATAATCTGAAAATATTCATTTTGTAATGGCATTTTCTAAAACTAAATGTTACCGGTCGAAGATGGTTGTGGATTCGTTTGTTTATATGCCAGGGATCCAAATACCACTGGATATCGGTGTTAAAATCCGAGTTAAACTGTCGTATTTCGTTTCCGTACATTGCGCTACGGTCGGTAGAGACGGAACGGAGTGTGATATTTCTTGAATGGAACCAGCGCAGTAGTCGACGAAATCCTTCTTTCTCCATTCTCCCGCTGACACCTCCTATAAAATGATTTTGAAGTAAATATAGGGAAGAGGGAATTGACTAAGTTACCAGTTTCGGATCTGTGCAGGACTTCGGTGTGCACGCACAGATTTGTCTTCAGGTCCACTGCCAATACCTTGCAGAATGCAGCAGTATGTCCACGCGAGTCGTACGCTCCATCCACTGCTATGTCCCAAGCTCTCGGTTGACCTTCAGCCTGAATGATTAGCGACATGATTAATAATATATAATTCCGCACTTCTCTTACCTCGTAGATAGATTCGATTTCCTGGATGACCAACTCTTCACGTTTGTCGTATACATATTTGATCACTGGTCGCATTTCTTCAAACATGTCGTAAAAAGTGGTTTTTCCTGGCAAGGCCACATTGACTTCCTTTGCCCACTGGAGTTGCTTCTATAACATTTTTTTCTTGTTTTTACAGTTTTTCTTTTAGAAAGAAACCATTACACTTATGCGCGTTCCCGTCGTGACGTTTGCTACGCAACTTATCACATTGCCGATGAACACTTTTTCATGCAGCGTCGGACCGAGTCTGTCCTGTCCTTCCCATCTTCTTGTCTCCGTTGTTGAACCAGCGGTTGTATAGTAGATAACAGGAGCAGACGCGAATCCTTTGAGCCAAACACTTTCTGTGGAAGCGTTCTCGCTACATTCACAGCGACTTAGGTGGAAAAGCTCAAGAAGCTTTTTTCCTGGGACAAGGAAGTATTTGTTGAGATCTTTTTCCTCAGTTTTTTTTCGCGGCCTCGTGTCTTCGCTGCCAGATGTCGATGGTTGTTTTTCGGGCGAGATCTGATAGGAACTGCTCTGAACATTCAAAATGAGTACTGATAATGTAATGACTAAGTACTGACCGAAGTTTTTGCAGGTGATTCTGTTTCTTTTGATAGCTGTTTCTCCGGGGAGAGGAAGAGGCTGCTCTGAATTGCAAATTTATCATTGCTGTCACTGCGCTGATCACAAATGTTCCTCTCTACTGCCGAGTCTGACCGATGATTTCTCAGATCCAGGCTCTTCTTGTCCTCCTGGCGCTTGTGAAGCTACATCCAATGGTTGACCGAGAAGCTCAGAAGCGTGCACTTCCTCTCTCGCTTCCTAAATGTTCTAAGTAGGTTTGAGGAAACGCTCAGTTAGGGTGTACTTCTCTTTGCTGTCGTGGGACAACTCCAAAATTCCAGCCACCAGGACCGAAATACCTTCTGAGATATGTGCTTACGTAAGTGTACACATCTTTGGTGCTGACCACGGTACTTTCCTACAACGTTGTTTTGTTCCCGGCTGTTTTTTTATTATAGACTAACCGAAAATGTCCTTATCGTTTCATTCAATAAATCTGGAATGTCTGCGGGGATGTCTGTTTCCAAAAGATATGATTTGCCTTCTGTTGTTCTCGACAGACTTACACCCCTCGCCATCATTTCTACCAGAAGGTACTGAGCCTGTACGCAAAGAATATTTTTTGGCATATATGGGATAAGTGACTTACAGCATTTACAGAGTGGGTAATGCAAATAAATTTTTGCGTCACTTGAAACGTCTCAAAGCAATGTTCCACTAATTCGTGGTCGATAGATGTATAGATTTGCAATGCCGAGAACAAAATTGCGTTATGGATGTTACTTCGAGACGAGCGTGATGCCATTTCTTCGATGACCATATTCCCGCATATCATACATGACCTTCTGTGCATGTTTGCAATTGCCTAAATTACTTTCTACTCACGTGCGAATTCACGAAAAACGTATTGACATTGGAGGTATTCATCACGCGAACCAGAGCACAATTGTCCGAACTTTTACATTGAATTCAAATTCGATTCTGTGATGATGTGATAAGCATTTTTAGGCATCAGAAATGAGCAGGGACGCGGCTTCTATCAAGGAGTGGTCCACGCACGTCGTCACATTCAAGAGCTTTTGTATCAGCTTCCAAGAGTGAAAAGAATATCAGTTACTATGAAAGCAATAAAAACTTCATACTAAACTTTTTCGAACACCTTGTACTCTCATCTTTGATAAAAACTTCGCCAAGACAATGTTGAGCTCAGAAATGGCTTTGCCGTACAGCTTGAGTGACTTAATTGTAATGAACATACAGAGTGAATTCTTTGAATGTAGCTCGTGCCAAAACTGTGATTTTTGACAGGTTTAGTACTGTATACATTAGAGTAAACTGAGCGCAAGCAAGGCCCATCTTTCGCCTAGCCTTTTTCGTTTGCGACATGTAAAAAATTTCAAAAATTTAGAAAGAAGCATGTTTTGGCATGAGCAAGACGAGTCAAAAAAGTGGCGCTTTTTCTCCCTTGCTCACGAGTTTTTTGGGCAGCGACTATATAGGTTCGCAACAGACCGGAAACACTCTTCGCATCTTTGGCTTTCCACTGACGACACGTAAATATGTCGATCATATCGCATGTGAGAGCACTGCTGTGTCAAAATGGACGATTCTGGAGGGAAAATTGTAGGAGGTTCTGACTTCTAGTTTCTCCCTTGGTCGCCACTTTTATATAGCACGGTGCCGTTGTCGTAGCCAAAAAGTTGCTCAGTCTAATGGATGTAAGACCATCCGAAAATAGTAAGTCCGAAGGAAGTTATAACAATTTCAGTCAGAAATCTCGAAATCGGACAGAACTTTTGGAACAACCTACTATACCTGTCGCAACCCACAGGGTAATGGTTTCAGGAGAAATCATTTACAACCAGCTTGTTCAATGACCTACTAGATCAAACGCTACCCTAATCACAGATTTTGGATTTGCAGCTTCTTATCGTAGATTTGGAAAAACGTCACCATGCGAAAAGAGTGCGAATAAAATGTTGTTGATGATGGTGATCCATGTTCTTACGTTTTTCAATCGTGCTTTGTCACCTACATTTTCAAAGTTTACCATGCAAACAAAATCCTTCTATGCGCTTTATTTCAGATCAGTATGCAAAACAAACTTTTGCAACACAAATTTCAAAACAACGTAGCATGTACAGTGAAAAGAAACAGAAGATCAAGAAAAAACAGGAAGCACAAGAAGACCGCCACTCTGGCTTGTTTCTGCGTGTCAATCCGTCCTCCTTATTTCGACATCTCCTTCTTCAGCTGAGTCATCACTTCCAGACAATACTGTGTTCGTCCTGAAACGAAAACGATGTTGACAATGGACAAAATTCTTCAGACTGTATCTCACCTAAACTCTATCAGTAATCGCCCATAACCCATCTTCTGGTATGGAGGCAAAACCAGTATACAAGCCACATTGTACTCTTCTGCTGACTCTTTCTCCTTGAACACGAAATTTTGTATAGAATAACGCAAGAAATATAATACCTTAGAGAAAAAGCCAATGATGTGGAATCCGCGGTCATTCAGGAGCGCAAGAACATAAAAAGAGAAAAGGATCTGTGTCGTAGTACAGAGTCTTGTGATCAAGATAACCTTGCCAGCAAACACAGGTTCTGAGCGTAGGCCTGAACAAAACAGAATGGCTCACTCCATCATGAAGACATCAACTCCACGAAAAAAAGAAAGTTGAGATTAAATGCTTACCTTATTCTTACTTCCGTCAATTTCGAAAAACGAAAAATTCTCATTGCGATAGATTTCATTACCAGGCGGATGCTTGAGGTAACATTTCTTCTGAAATAACATTTGTAACTACTTATGTCTCCCACTGAACTGCAAAAAAATTTTACTCACCCCCAACTCGATCATTTCGATGTTGCGGATTCTCGTTAGAGCATCCTCACTGTGACCCACCATCGACATCAATCCCCGCGTGCTTGGGGCTACATATGAAATTAACTTCTCAGGAAAGGAGAAAGATGAACAGGTGAATGAGGATGTACTTGCACGAATAGAGGTGGATATACATTTCATGTGTCAATGCCACCATTTGTCTTCTTTCGCCTTCTCTTCCTGCGTTGCGACTAGTGCGACCAATTTCACCACTGGAACATTGCAATGAATTCTTTACACAAAGTTACAGAATGATAACGAGGAAGGTAATTACCAAAAACATGAAATGCTCCAAATGAGTCAAGGATTTTACAAAAGCAAAGGTGATAACGATATAAATGAAATATCAACTGACAAAGAAAGGATAAAATACTCCAACAAGTGACTGATATACATTATATTTTGTTCTTGACCCCTTTCCCTGGAATTTGATAAGCGAAACAGTCAGAAAATGACAAGTAAACACGAGAACTTAGCAAAGAAAGCGTAGAATGGTTTTTCCCAACGAGCTGCCAGCTTACGGTCAGCGCCGCACACTCAAAACCGTAACGGATGCATGGTTGGAGGGGAAATCCCTCGATGGGCGGGGGCCTCCGATCGTGGCGTCACTCTCCCCACTTCCGGAGCGATTTTCTCGCTTCCGATTCGACGAAATGCGCCCGCGATCGGGCTGCGGGACGTGTCAAGGGGGCTACTTCTGCGCGGCAGTGAAATCCCATAACCCCCCACCTAACCCGGACACTGCCTTTAAGCTCTACCCCGGGCTATCGATGGGACTCTAACTTACTCGCACTCACACAGCACACTCTCACACTCTCCCGGCATCCAAGGGAGCTACCCACAGGCCGGCCGCGCGCCGCCAAGGCAGCAGCTACGGCACGGCAACACCGATCCCATGATGTAAATCAGCAGCATCGAACCAAGCTCCAACGAGTTCTGCGCGACCAAGGCGCTTCGTGATGTTCATCATCCTGGAATTCTATCCCGCGCGTACATCCAAATAATCCATCAACGATCCATCCAGTCGCGCGAGGCACGGGGACGTAGACACGACGGCGATATCGTGGAAACCCAACCGATCAATAACAAAGGCGGCACGACGATAATAGTAAGATGATAAGACGAGAGAGGCCGCAACGGCGCGCGTACGCGCTATTTATAGCGGTGGCTGGGGGCGTGCCTACGTGGTGTGGTCTCGGAGCGAACAAGGTAGCCGCCGTAAAGCGCGGCGACCGTGCTCACGACCGAGACGCGCGGCAACACGGTGCTCCCGGCCAAATGCTGTGAGGAGCGGTCGATCGCGAGCCGCGACAGAGTGCATCAAAGAAGTATGCAGCTCTTTTTCTCTCACTTTTTTCAGTTCCAAAATTTGATTTGACTCACCATTTTCAATTTTTCTCCACTATTAATTTCGAAAATTTCTACCCTTCTTTCTACCCTTCCATTGTTGACCTTTTTGTATAAGTAAAATTATGCTCTCAAACCTCACAACATATAATGAATACACATATCGACTTTACTAAAGAACTGATTGACGAGGATCGGATGTCTACTACTATTTTTCATCAAATATGCGATATATTCCCACAGAGTCCTTGTCTTTCTACACCTAACGATACACCCAAATCTTAGCTGCTAGAACGGCTCACATAGCTCGCTAAAGCGCTGGCGCTCGCGACCCACAGAAAAGTGATAGTTCAAGAAAATCAAAAAAATTGCGCGAGTGAAAGCACAAGTTCACAACGCTTTTTCTATTGTTTTTTTTCAATCCATTTCAGAATCACAGAAACTCAGTGCTGAAACTTGGAACAGGGTAAATTTTTTATGAACACTTCACAAGATTTTGCAAAAAAATCGTGATGATCTGAGCCGAAAATGTTAGCGAGTTTTTCATAAAAGTAAACTTTGTAGATTACCAATAAATCAATTTTATGATTTTACTGAAGCAAAGCGCACTTTCGGATGCGCTCCTGCGCAAATAAGTTGCACGGAATATTCCCTTGTTGGAAAAAACATTTTTGACAATGAGAAGTGGAACGATTGCAAGAAGAGCTTCAACGAGAACTTGACACAGGAGTCGGAATTTTATGAAGGACTAGGTGATCCATTAATATGGGAAGAGCTCTGTTCCACTCAATGAAAATTTTACATTACAGTTACAGAGCTAACCAATTTCGGATGAGTGTGTGCTATAGAATAAAACAGGAAAAAGCAGCAACTCTACTGAGAACAATTATTGACAAAATCTTTCGCTTTTTAGTGAGTTACAAAAAATTTATAGCTTTGGTTGGGTTGGATAAACTGAGCATATTTTGGCTGCTAGAAAAGAGAATGAATATGAAACAGTTGCAATATGAAGGTCCTCCAAAGAAGACACTGCAGAGAGCATAGGTATGATAAAGTACAGTAGCTCAATGGAACTTTCATACGGGATGTGAAATCTTCCGAATTGACGAAAAATGTATGCTTATCAATGTAATGTCCCATAATCTGTTGGCCTTAACTATGGCCGAAGTAATAGCCTCAATAATCTACGATAACGAGCACAATTCCTGTGGCAATATTAACGCAAGTACTACGACCCTTGACTTTACGCCTCAAAACGAGCCTAACGACAATATGTGAAGGGGATATTCCGTGCAACTTATTTTCCAGAAGCGCATCCGAAAGTGCGCTTTGCTTCATTAAAATTATAAAATTTTGATTTATTGCTATCCTACAAAGTTAATTTTTATGAAATTTCCGCAAACATTACCGGTTCAGATCATCACGATTTTTTGCATAATCATGTGAAGTGCTCATAAAAAGTTCACCCTGTTTTAAATTTTCAGCACCGACTTTCTGTGTTCTTAAAATGGATCAAAAAAGAAGCATTAGAAAAGACGTTGTAAACTTGTACTTTCACTCGCGCATTTTTTTTTGATTTTTTTGAACTGTCATTTTTCTGTGGGTCGCGAGCGCCAGCGCTCTAGCGAGCTATGTGAGCTGTTCTAGCAGCTAGGATTTGGTGTATCGTTAGGTACCCGCTGTTGAAGCAATCAAGAGGTGTGGCTTAGTGTACACCACTTATGGCTGGGTACCTAACGCCCGCACCTCGGCTGGGTACCTAACGCCACGCACCCACTCTGGATATTTATACTTACAGGTCACTCCAGTGTCACAGTGTGCGTTCGTTGTAGGACTCTAAAGAGGGTTTGAATAATTTGCGGTAGCTTAAATGCTCATCCTGACTTTAAGCTCAGCGAGTTTATCAACCACAGGTGACCCTAGAGAGTCGCAAATACTGGGGGAGGATAAGAAAGTTGGTGAGATATTTTGTTTTCCACCTCCTTGGACTTATACAGAATAGGTACCTTATATATTTGTCACCCTACCTCCGCCCCTCGAAATACTGCTGTGTTTGGACTTGTCCTTCTAACAAGGGTGGGTCACGGGCCTGTTCAGACGTCAAATGGAACGATAGAAACTACTATACTACGCAGAAGTAGTTCATTATAAGGAACATTCTAACTTCCGACACGGCTTCAACTGAGGTCTAGAGAGACTGGCGCGATTGACTTTATCCCGGTCATTGGTCCAAGTTTCGATTCTAAGAATGCTCAACTTCTTTTCCAGAACGCTATGCAGATAGGTAAAGAAGATTTGGAATCAGCGCTTCAAGCTCTCACTGATGGTATGAAGTTTGTGTTGATCGGGCACTTCGACTTCGTGATCCTGCCTTGTAAGAGGACAAAAGCAATACCGGGTAGCAACTGTTGGCAATTAAAGTTGATTTCAATTCGATTTAGAGCCATGAGCGGCACAACTTGATCTCTTAAGAAACTGGAGGTCGCAACAAATCATACCCATCATTTTGACAAAAGCTCATCTGCTTTCTCTTTTACCAGCAATTTATTCTCGATATTCATTATTATAAAGGCTACTGCATGACGACGGCGCGAAGTAGTACTATTGCGCGGGCGCGAATGCGACGTGCGCGGATCCGCACCGTCGTAAATCTTGCGCCTCATGCGCTTTGCGTCTAATAAAGCCGCATTTGAGCTCAAAGATATTGCGCCTTCGTTATGCAGCAGCCTATATGTAAAGATGAGACTCTCAAAACATGAACTGTTTCATTTGTTTCAATTTCTTAATGTGTACAACACATTACAATATTAACATGCTGAAACTTTTACGTCAAATGCCGCCATAATTAGAAGTCCGGAGTTTACTTATTGAGGATGTTGGAATTAACAGCTCGGAAAGTAGAGCAGTGGTGGGCTTAGAAAAAAAAGCTCTAGCCTGCGAGGCTCCAACAAATTCAGTTTGCAATCATTCGAATTTAGTAAAGTAAGTTCTGCCATGTTTTGTTATACAAACAAAGCAGTTCCAACCACGAACTATTTGCCTTCAAAAATTTGCTAAATATAACGTAGAACACTACTTTCTCTTGAGATTCTTAAGTTCAAATCCTTGAAAATGGTCAATGGGTTTTCATTCTCGTCCTCATTTCGTTGAGAAAAGGTCCATTTGCGGCAATGTGCGCATTTCATTGTGAAGAGCTGCTCTTGTCGTTTTGTGTTAGTTTGTTCGGCTAAAGATTTGAACGAGTTGGGAGATATTGCGTGCGATGATGCTGGGCTAGATTAGCGAATCCAATATAATTATATGATTGTTTGCGATTTTGAATCGGACTTATGATGGTCCTCACCTCCATCCTGCGCTCACTTGCTTTCGTTTGCCATGTAAAACTTTTAAATCATTATTAAGATTGGTTTATAGTTGCTGCAAACCTTCTTTAGCAAGAGTTCTAATTTTTGCTCATGTAATAAGGGAAGGATGCTCAGTGACTGAGGCCATCCTGATGATTAATACAGTGCTGAACATATAATTATAAGCCACTCTAGAAATCGTCGTAATTTTCGCTCTTGTCAATGAATCTGTCTGAAACTTTACTGTATTGTGCGCATGTCAACCTACAATCCCTCAAAACCGCTTCCAATCTTGTTGAGTTTGAACGGAGAAAAACGAAAAAATTCGAAAAATCCCTCTTTGAAAGCTGGACAAAATTATAAAGCCACCTGGTTTTTCTAATCACTATCGCATTCGTTGACTCTCAAATTTTTTTGTACAATTACATCCCAAGATATAAAACATCTGCAACACCTATGGCCTGTAACCCTATCCAATTAGAAGCGATCACTGCATTTTCTGCTTTCAAAAGCACCAAAAGTCAATCTGCTTCAACAAACAACTGATTTGAAGTGTTTTCAAGCTCTTGTTCACTTCAAGTGATAACCACGGATTCTACTGACCCTTTTGGATAGATGAGATAAAGAGCGCTTTCGTAAACTCCGCGAAGTCGCTGTTTTTGACGGAAAGACTCCAACCTCAACATAGGCTTGAAACGCTTTTAAACCACAGAACTCAGCTTGCAATGTCCAGAAAGTGCTGAACTTGACTTATTACATTGCTTACATACGGATGCAGCTTTCGCAACAACTTTTAGATTTTCCCCAATGATGCGGTCGCTATTTAAACCTGAAATACTTTCCACAAAAATTCCCTGCGAGCAGAAGATTCGATATAACCCTAAATCTCCTTATTTCCCTCTGTGTTTCATGTCATATTTCACCCGATGAATGAGATTAGCTAAGATTTTGAAAAGCGTCTCCGGTTTTATCCCGTGATCTGAGTTGGCTTTGATTGATGTTTGTTGTGCAGGGTGCTCCACTCAACATTCAGTGGATGTCCACTGCGGCTGAACTAGAGTGCTCAATCCCGAAATTTTTTCCCAGTCATGCACACGAGTTCACTGTTGTATGGCTGTCGTAATGGCTACACTACAGTATTTTCTGCCTCTTGAAAATCGAGTTTTGTGGTGCAAAGGTGTGTCAACCCTATGATGAGGTTAGAGTCTATCCGTCAATATCAGCGATTACGCAGAGTTTACGAAAGCGCTCTTCACCTCAACTATCCAGAAGGATCAGTAGAATCCATGATTATCATTTGAAGAACAAGAGATTGAAAACTCTTCAAACCAGTTGTTTGTTAAAGCAGATTGACTTTTGGCGCCTTTGAAAGCAGAAAATGCAGTGATCGCTTCTAATTGAGTAGGATGACAGGCCGTAAGTGTTGCAAATGTTTCATATTTTGGGATGTATTGTAGAAAAAAATTTGAGAGTCAACGAATGCGATAGTGTTTAGAAAAACCAGGTGGCTTTATAATTTTGTCCAGCTTTCAAAGAAGGCTTTTTCAAATTTTTTCGTTTTTCTCCGTTCAAACTCAACAAGAGAAGCCATTTAAGGGGGTCATGTTGGGTTGACATGCGCACAATACAGCAAAGTTTCAGACAGATTCATTGACAAGAACGAAAATCACGAAGATTTCTAGAGTGGCTTTATAATTATGTCCAGCACTGTATATCAATGATTGCGCCTTAAATGCTGGTTTGAAGACTGCTTTCCATATCTAATTGATTGGGCTGAAGTTATGATCAGGGTTGAGCGTGGGGTCAGGCGCGCCCGACCTGGGGGGTCGTACTGGGGTAAGACAGAGGGGGGGGGGGGTCGTGGTTAGGAATCGAATTCGTTCGATTGAGGAGATACTACGATTAAGGTGAAGAAGAAAAGCGCTAGTTTAGTGGATATCGCTACCTCACCAGTACTGAAGGAATGAACGGTTTAAACAGCATATTGATTGATTTCACAATCGAAGTTTCGGCCAAAACTCAAATCTTCATCTTCTACCTTGACATATTATAAATTCATCAAGGAAGCTTGCTGTGTGAAATGGGTATCATTTCCGAGCACTTCAAATTACCTCTATGAGCCCTACAAACCATTATTTACTGCATTATCTAGTGTTTCTCAACGACTAAAAAGCGTGATTTTCAAACATGATTAACTTGTTTTCAAAAGTGAGAAAAGTCAATTTTTTTGTACTCGTAACAAAGTATTGTTCCCCACTAGTCTAGGCTAAAAATCGCGCTTTGTATCGCTTGCAAATAGTGGAGTAAGAAATAATGCCAAAATTCCGACCGGCGCGTTTTTCGCCATGACTGCTTTAAAGGCAGCGGACAGGCAAAATGGACCCCTGTCAGATTTTGGTAGTTTCGGGTAGTGGACCCCCCAAGTACACCGTAGCCCCAACCTCACATTCCAATTCATGCGCTAAATTCTGAAAAAAGAGCTTTAAAACTCTACCAGCCCCGCCCACTTCCATTGAGTGGGCGTTATTGGTGGAAGTTTGAAGCGCTTTTTTCAGGACTTAGCGCATGAATTGGAATGTGGGGTTGGGGCTACGGTGTACTTGGGGGGTCCACTACCCGAAACTACCAAAATCTGACAGGGGTCCATTTTGCCTGTCCACTGCCTTTAACTCCACGGATTACCACAAGGCCGAAACAAGTCGAATCAAGTCCAAACACTTACTGTGAAATCTTAGAGGGTTGTGCTAGCGATTCACATAAAACTTGAATAAAAAAGCTTCTTCAATGATAAAGTTAATCGGGTCAGGCGCAACCCCACAAAAGGTCAGGCCGCCTGAGCTTTTGAGGGGTTGCGCCTGACCCGATTAACTTGTTTTCAAAATCTAAAAATCGCTCCATTTCTGCTATGAGTATTGAACTCAAAGCCTCTTCTTGCAATACTGCAAATTTGGAGCCAAACAATACACCCCTGTGGGAATTATAGCTCTAAAAGTAGGGCTATGCAAAATCCAAAACTTGCCGTCAAGTTGCGTGTGCTGTGCAATCGCAGAAAGTCGACCTACAGACCTCCAAAAAACAAGAACTCCCAAAAACGGCTGATCTCTTCGAATTATCACAGCCTGAGGTCCTGGAGGTGAAGCAAAGGGGTCGTTTAGGAGCTTTCACTGGGGGGGGGGGGGTCGTTTTGGAAAGACTTGTGCCTGACCTCTTGCTCAATTCTGGTTATGATTATGTTATAACTAGCTAGCTTACCCGGCTCCGCCGTATGTTCCGAATAGAAAATTCCATTTCTTAACCGATCCGGACCAAACTTAGCACACATACACTTCGGGCCCCGGCGGGTGTCACAGTCCACTTTTCGATATCGATTTTATCGATTTTTTGCAAAATTTGAGCTACGCGGCTTTAGCAGAGGGGTGTAATCGAGCATGCTGATCACCCCCACGGGGGTGATCAGCATGCTCGATACCCCCCCCCCTGTGCCAACTCCCAGCCCCGTAGCTCAAATTTTGCAAAAAATCGATAAAATCGATATCGATCGATGACGAAAAGTAGCCTATGACACCCGCCGGGGCCCGAAGTGTATGTGTGCTAACAATAAATTTGGTCCCGATCGGTTCAGAAATGGAATTTTCTATTCGGAGCATACGTACACACATACAGACAGACAGACAGACATACAGACAGACACACAGACAAACAGACATTCAGCTTTATATATAAGATTATTTTTCAAGAAAAAAGCATCACCACAAAGGCTCAAATTCGTAAAAGCCATTTTCCTTGCTTTTTTGACTAGTAAATCTGGATCTATCAGTCTGACTACAGTAGTTCTCTGTTTGAGATCTTGTTTAGTCACATTGATCAGTATTTAGATTGATTACTAGTGGTCTCCGCTATCCGGAAACGCACAAATTTTCTTCAAAAGAGAATTAGCTTCTTTGATTGTTTCGCAGATAGCGAAAGCGGATTTGAAATTATTTTTTCAAGGGTGTCTTAGTCAAGCCAACCCTTCCGCATTCCACATTTGCTACCCAACTTTCAGTGACTTTATTACTCTAATACCTCAGCTTGACGAATGATAACTGAGTGAATAAATTAGTTGTTATACAAGCAGTCTTTCATGGACAGGCGATGAGGGTGCGCTACCCGGCGTAAATAAGGCGAGCCGCTGGCACGGTCAGTCTCGATAGCGCGCCGTTGTCGACAACGATGCCACGCCCACAAATTTACTTATACTTGTAACTAATTAAAATGATTTCAAAATTTTTCAAAAGCTCAGTTTAGCCTTATTAAAACAAAATTATTCGGGGCGTGGCTCAATCCACGGCCCCTTTTCTGAAATTTATGGGTTATAAGCCTATGAAATTTGGAAAGCATACCAAAAATTTTTTGGAGGGCGTGGGTTACGACACCTTTATCAGAAAAATTTTTTGTCCCCCCCCTCTTCCCTCAAACGGAAATCCTGGATTCGCCAGTGGTGCTCAGTATGTTAGTAATTTTATACACTCCGTTGTGTGTTGATTAATTCAGCTGAAATTTGCGTACATATGTTTTCCACCCATGCGTAAAAAGCTACTTTTAAGCGGATTTGCTGCAACGTTCTATCGAATTACTGGTCTGTTTGCTTGAATTCAGGGGAACGAAAGCTTATCAGATTAGACGCATTTCCTGTAGTCATTTCAACGCGGGCGTTGCTCGTTTAGATTTTGCGATGGTTATGATGCGGCGTTGCGAAGAGAGGTGCGATAGTCGGAACCGAGTCTCCGCTTACCTTCACTTTTGAGCTGGTACCGGGTGACCACCTTCACTTTTGGGTTTAAAAATTTTTTGCTGAAGCTTAAAAAAAGGAAAATAAACAAAAGGAACGCAAAAGAAAGTATTGAGAGCATATATCTATGTAGTGGGTCAATCTAGGTAGTAACCGCAGAGAACCAGTATTTCGAATGACAAAATAGCGAAAAATCAAGCAAAATTTCCACTGTTATAAATCTGGTGGTTGAAGATGTCAGCAATTGCGACTTCAAAGGTTTTGAAGAGAAGGTGGTGCTCTATCAGATAGTGAAAAATTAGGTCGATTTGAGCAGTGGCCGCCGAGAACGAGAATTTTGAAAAATTAAGTGATTTTGGGTCACTTAGTGACAGCTGACAATTAAACTCATACAAATCTTGAATGTGAAAGTGTGTGATGTTGCGACTTCATAGGTTTTGTAGAGTAAGAGTAGCTCTAACGGACTATGCTTTAACCGTACCGATCCATTGAGATACCGCCGAGATTCAGGCTCTTGAAAAAACAGGTGAAAAACCGCTTTTGAATTTCAACAGCTCACAACTTCTTCAGAATTGCATGAATCATGTTGCGACTTCATAATTTGGATTCTCCTCATCAAAAGCTTTCAAATGATATATAAAATGTGGGACTTCTGCGCTTCTCACGGCATATGCCCGGGGGTGGAACTTTTCACCCCAAAATCTCCACTGGCGGTCTCCGGCTAATACATTAACATGGGCGAGGTGGAGACTTTGGGGTGAAAAGTCTCCACCCTGGGCTACAGCCGCAAAAAATTGAACTCCCCACATATTACCAACCTATGAAGTCGCAACATGATTTATGCAATTCTGAAGAAGTTGTGAGCTGTTGAAGTTCAAAAAGCGTTTTTTACTTGTTTTTTCAAGAGCCTGGATCTCGGCGGTATCTCAATGGATCGGCACGGCTAAGGCATACTCCGTTAGAGCTATTCTTACTCTACAAAATCTATAAAGTCGCAACATTGCACACCTTCACATTCCAGATTTATAGGAGTTTAAACGTCAGCTGTCACTAAGTGACCTAAAATCGCTTAATTTTTCAAAATTTTCGTTCTCGGCGGCCACTGCTCAAATCGACCTAATTCTTTCACTATCTAGTAGAACAACACTTGCCCTTCAAAACATTTGAAGTTGCAATTGCTGACATCTTCGACTACCAGATATATAACAGTGGAAATTTCGCATGATTTTACGTTATTTTATTACGAAATTCTGGTTCTCGGTGGTTACTGCCTGGATCGACCTACTTTATTCGCAGTACGTTATAACAAAATTTACTTAATAAAGTACGTAAAGTCTAGCTGAGTTTTACTTACAAATACACCATTTGATAAGCACTTTATTTTAGGTATTTATGCCGCTGTATACATAAGAATATGCTTTCATTGATCTCTTTTGCATTTGTTTTGCTTATTTTCTGTGCACTGGCGGCAACGACCTGGAGGATAGGCTCAGTCGATGCTAACGCTCCCCTCCACCCCCCCCCCTACCCCCGCTTTTGAGAGGTGAGTGTCCGGCACTACCACCTTCACTTTTGGCCGGCCAGTGGTAGCTGGAACCACCTTCACTTTTGGGGGGCCCGGCTCCACCTATCGCACCTCTAATTGCGAAGCGAGGCAACCAGGAGCGGTATTGATCAATCTCTCGCTCTCTGTTCGAGCGCGTTTCATTGTTATACACGGACAAGAAGTTATTTCTGTGAGGTTGGTTAGCATAGGAGGGCAAGCGTTAGGCGACAAAACGTGCAAAATGCAATCAACGTAATGCCCATAGGTCAAAACTATGCGCCATTTTTTCTATGGCGTCGAGTAATGTATCGGCCCCAACCCCCACCCCCCTGTTTTTGGCGGAGGAGACGTTTTGCACGGGGAGTTTTTCGGGGTCTAAAAAATCGGTCTTGTCGCCTAACGCCCTACACCCGTTAGCATATCTGAACGGGGAGCAGAGCCCGATCTGTTGAGACCATGCGTGCTGTGCCCAACATGGCCAAACTTGTCAGATCGGGCCCTTGAGTCCACGCATTGTCCTAAGTGAGATCCAAACAGTATGATTGTGATGGAATTCCTGATAATTGCTGTAGTTCAACCTAGCCTTCCATTTCATACCATTTGATATGTGCTGTTTCCATTGGGCCGAAAATAAGATATTTGATACATCTTTGCTTTCTAACTTATGCCAGTGCGATGAATTGCGCTACAATACAAAATATCCAACGAATTACTTATATTTAGAACGTATTTGTCGTTCATATCACTCTCTAAGGTAAATAACTCTGATCCCTTTATCATATTTTACAATTGTTGGACAAATGTGCATATAAATGCAAAAACTGTACTCGAGAACCGGAATAAAAGAAAAACCAATGAAAAACGATGGATTTTCATGTGGTTGCGATATGCGAAGTTTACGCCAGCAAGCGTTTTTGATATGCTCCCGCTCGCACAGCTGCCGTGCTGCTCTCCACAGTAGGTTCACGAACAGGCATGAAAGGATGTATGGAAAATTAATAAATACCGCCCCTAGATGGAAGAGACCGCCGCAGGAGCTGTCGCGGATTGGGCCCCCAGCTCCCAACGTCCGTGGCGTAACGGCTCTCCTGCATAGGCGAGGGGAGCCAGGGGTCCGCTCCGTGAAAGAGTGAAACGTATCATATGAGGTGGCTACCTGTGAAAATGCTATTCGTGCCTGCCACATGGGTACTCCACACACACCTAGGGGCCCTTGTCACCAGCCTGCTTAGCAGTTACTCGACACCTGCGACTCGGTTCAGACTCCCAACCCTCTACAGTTGGGGCATAGTACTTACAACCAAGGCACTTAACCGGTATCGTGCCAGCCTTTGACAGATGGATCGTACTATGCAAGATTATGATACACAATGACTATGATGACATGAGATATCCCCGGAGGAACAGCCGAGCTGTGGCCCACCGCACCAAACAAATCACACGTTTAAAATGCCCACCATTTATCCACAACAATTCCCTAAATTCAAACACAAGGGTGGAGCACAACCAGCCAGATCTTATCCTAGGGGCCAACAATATCGGAACCCCCCCCCTTGGCGGTGTCGCCGGCGTGTGCCAGGCGCGAGCGCGCACGGGGTTTCGTCCGCGGGGTTGCCGCGCAATGGTAAAGAAGAGCAGATACAAGATATTGTTCAAAATGTGGGTTCTTGGACGGAGCAAAAGTATGTACCTTTCGCGGAGTCGTTATAACCCCCGGTCCGAGATGGACCGGGTTCGCCAGCTTTTACAGCCCTATAATTGACTTCATAGCAATGCAAGCAAGCAATGTTAGCATCACACTTGAAGTCATATTCCGCTCATGTTCGAAATCCTAAAACTATTTAGACTTAGTTGTATAGACTAGACCTAGACTAAATAACCTGTCAATCAAATTTTTTTTCTTTTTTCCAATCTACCAATTGTTTGAATACACAGTTCAGTTCAGTATGAGCGAGTGTGGAAACTTATGTATGAGCCGTAATCCATCGAAAAAAGCCTGGCGGGTTACAAAGTTTACTTGAATTAATCAGCGCTCAAAAACTCCGTAAATGAGCTTTTCGTCTTTCCTCGTTGTAAAAAGGACACAAAATTAAAGTTGGAAAGATACGAAATGGTCGAAGTCCTGCATCGCAGTTTCTACGATATAAGAACTAGTCCAATCCGATTTTTGCGCATTGCATTCGTGGTGTATATTGTTACATAACTTAGGGGAAATTCTCCACTCACATTTTTATAATATTCGCAAATTGACCATGATATCATCTTCTTTTTTCGGAAACAATCGAAATAGAGATGCACGGTCTCTATGTACATTGTGTTGTAAAGCTTTTTTGGGGATTACTAGATCCGGTTTCCGAAGGCTCATATAAGTGAAGCAAAGAATGAATTTATCTGCATTTTATTCTGCTATGAGCCCATCAGAAGGTGAGCGTGTAATGCATTAATCTAAACATCATCTTATCCAACGCCATATTTAGAAGCAAAAGCTATCTTGGCACCGGTACTAGGCCAATTTCATGAGCTTGTAGTAGCCAAAGATTACGAAAAGGTATAGGCAATTATTGAAATCTCTACCGCGTTTATAGTTACTCGCTTTCAAAATTGTATGTTAACCCATATCACTAATACGAGCATCTCTGTCAGCTTGCTGCTTTGTACGATCCAGACGCTGTTCTTGTTCATGCTGGAAAGGATGCGGTCTACGGAAGAGAAGGTGAGAAGTATGCTAAGACAAAGTAAAAATTGCTGAGTTGATTTTATGTTGAAAGCAAGTGACCTTGATTTAGCTGGATTGGCGGCTGAAAGGCGGGACTTTGTGACCTGATTAAGGCCGCTCGCGCCCGCGACGCAGCCTGCGTCCCTCTCTCTCTCGTGCGCGGGCTCTCTGATCATTCCCCAGCCTTAGCTAGGTCACGAAGCCCGGCCTTCCAGCCGCCAATCCAGTGAATCAGAAGATACCGCTTAACATTGCCTAGAACAAATTTGATGTATTCGTTGAATGACATCGTCTATGCTAACATGAAAACTGAGCACCCATTTTTTCAGCTCTAATAAAAGATTTCCAAGATTTTCTGACACGTGCGGGTAAGCTGACGCCAAAGGTAATTTGTCAAGTGCAGCTTGTAACTCGTGTATATAGAAAATTCTATTGTTCAGAATCCCGAACCACACTTTAGAATGTGCGAAGACTTCATCATAATGACATCCGACTATGAGACAGAAACGGAGAAGATGGGAGTGTTGAAAGGAAAATACACCCAGATCTGGCGTAAAAGCGGTGATAAGTATATGTTACTACATTTTGAGGATGCACGGGAGTAGACAGAATCTATTTTTGTCAAATTGCTTTTATTATCGGATACACATATTACAAAAGAATGTGTGCTGTGCTTACTCGGAAGCCAAAGACTGAAAATGCATTGTGCACAAGCAAAACTAGGTTTAAATTGGTACAGTTTTTTTCATAGGATTATGCACCAGAGAACTGTGTATCAGCGTCCATTGTCAAAATTTTGTTTCCCCAAACTCAAGGTATTAGGGCTCCTCATGGTGAATGATTTGACGATATGCATTCAAAACAGGAGATCATTCGCCTTACAAGTGTGATACAAGCAGCTCTTGAACTCGTCGCTTTTTCAAGGAAAAATCTCATCTCGTAGCTCAAAAAGTTTCTAAATTGGGATACAATAATACGGCAGGAATTGGAATAACACAAGTTGTATGCTGGAGATGACAGTCTACGAATAAGTGCGAGTAAGCTTAAAAACGCCATTTCTCATTAGATTACCGAAAAAGTCTGCCTGTTTATGAAGATTTAATTAGAATAATTTTCGAGAATATTTTTTTCACACCAGTCATGTAAAAAATTCTTCCAAGGCTTTGTCTAAAATCTCAAAGTTATGGTCTCGCAAAAATCTTCGGAAGCATTCTGAAAAAAATTTTGTTGTCGTTCCTCCCCTTCCCCCCCCCCCCTCCCCCCGCCTCTCCGAGCGGAAACCTGCTCCACTATCTTGATGAAAAAAAAAAAGATGTATAGGTACGTAGAGAGCCTTCCATCCACAACTTTTATAAACTGACAGAATTGTGATATCTGGGCCATCACTACCTTGAGTCTGCTTTCCGGATAAGTAATGGATTTTACTAAATTATCTCGCTCTCTTTGCCGAAAAAGCGGAAATAGTGAATAAATATAGCAACATGAAACGTTTAAGCCATGAAAGCTCAACAAGAGTAAGATTCTACAAGTATTCCTGAACTTTGCGGCAACTGAGATAACCGCTTGCGAACAACAGACCCGCGTTTGTAGGCAAATGGAAACACTGTGGTATTGTGAAACACAATTAGTTCATAACGATCATCTTCGTGTAGTAAAACTAGTCCTCCAGCATATCTCCTGTCCATTGCAATCGGCTCCATCACTGCAGATCGCAAGAAGTTACTTTCAAGGTAGCAATTAACGATGGCGGATGGGAGATCGTCATCGCTTCTGAATTAGAAATATTCGAAAAAAAATATATAGAATGGAGAAGCACTTGCCTATTCAGCAGTTTATCAGCTAGTGATCTACAGAAGTCGACTCTCGTTAGCGCTTCACCACACCCACTTACGCTAATGCCGACACTTCTGTTATTGCGTTGTTCAGTCCACATGCCACTTCCAAATATGGTACAGTGACCTAGCCGACCTGATATGTAAAGAAAGCATCAATTACATATTATAGTCAGGCAGTGGCGTACCGAGGAGTGGGAGAGGGCGGGGGGAGGGGTAGGAGCCCCGGTCACGAAATTCTTGAAAGTTACTTACATAGGTTATAAAATTGTGCAGATGACTTGTAAATAATTAAAATAATTTTTAAAATTTTTAAGAAATTCATCTGAGCGTTATTGAAAAAATTTTTGCCCACGAAAGTTTTAGGGAGCATACCGAAAAGATTTCCGGAATGCGTGGCTGACGCCACGCACCTTCATCGGAAAAAATTTTTTGTCACCCTCCCCCCCCCGAGCCGAAATCCTGGGTACGCCACTGTAGTCAGGGGTAATGCATGAGGTAAGACAGACTACCTGGAGCCTTGAGCATAATTCCTCCACTGGAAGTGCATGCTTCTACAACATTATCCTAAAGAACTAAATCCGAAAATAAAGTGACGTGCAAGCAAAGGCACTTGTCTTACGTAAATCGACACGGCACCGACGGTATCCAATCTGGCATTCTCAACAGGCTCGACCTGACCAAGAGAAGCCTTTGCCTTTTCCCATTTCTTGAGTACATTATCGACAAGCAGTGAGCTAGGACCGCACAAAGAAAAACCTATAGGTCATTTCAACAAAGAAAAACTCGAGCTTCACAAAAATTGATACCATGCTTCTCGGCATAATTTTCTGCACCTGAGGACACGAGAACCATAGGAGCAATGAGACCCTCGTAGCCACCTTTTGTAGCCAGAGCTTTGGCGACTTTGCTTGGATTCCTCAAGCGGGATACTGCTCCGACAGCTCCAAACCTAGAAGTCGAACTGCGCAACGTAAATGAACTGCACATGATCTCGCACAGATACATTTCAAAACTAGTGGTACACAAGCAGCATTTTCAACCGATTTAGTGGTTGGAACGGTTGAATGTTGTGCAGGGTAGGCAATTGATGACCAAAGGCCACCGTAACCCGCACAAGGATCTGATTTAAGGCCATTACCGCTTAAGATGAGTTCACACATATGGATTGAACGAAAGAAGACAAGTTAGACGAAGGCTGAGGTTAGTTCCCTATTATTGTTTGGTCTAACTATACGATCGCTCCTCTCAAATGATGATTCCCGGGAAAGATCGTACTCCTATCCTTTTTCGTCTAGTGGAAGTAATGAAACGAATTTTATTCTTAAGTTTTGTAACTTTCTCATTTTGGTTCAATTTTTCCTATGATCAAAACATATGTATACTAACTCTCTGATCCAAGAAGCACAAAGGACGACTTACTAACGCTGACTGTGAGCGAAATACCAAAATATCCCTGAATGCAACCAACCTAAATCCGTCAGATGACATAAATCCAGCTTCACATTCTATAGTACCCTCCATGGTTGGATTCGATCCATATCCGCAGTTGAAAAGCGGGTTTTCCTCTAATGCCTACAATGATCATATGAATGAAAAATGAAGAAAGTAAACAAGAAACAACAAAGCATAAGGATAGATGATTTAGCGCAATAAAAATAACAAAGTTAGAACGGACCTTACCGAAACAGCGGAAACGACATCCACTTCCGGCTGACGAAGTGCGTCAGCGCATGCTACACTAAGAGAGGGATCAGCACGAAAACCAACGCCTATAAGTATGGAAAACATAGTTCAAAGCAGCGAAGATGGTCACGTACCACCATGAACGGCGATCATGCTTCAGCCATTATGTGAAGTGGTCAGTCAAACACCAGCGTGTTCTGAAACGGTAGACTTTCATACTCGCAGGACTGGGAATTTTACAGTACTGCTCGTTCAGAAAAACGCAGCAACATGCCATGACATACTACGACTTTCGACTGAAGAGACTAGTCCGGTGAATTCGCTTAAGAAATTCTATTCGCTTACACCACTAAACGCTTATCACAACTTGCATGCCCAAAACAAGATAAAAAGATCCAATCCCAGAGCAGAAGGATTAAAAAACTAAACTTAAACTTGTCGTTCAAATTTTATGGCGTGGAATCACGTGTGGATGGATTACACAACAAAGTATTTGCCGTCATTTGATATAACGCGCTCCAATGAGTTAAAGGTTCAAAGATTTTGGCAAAGTGTCAATGTTGACAACTGGCTTCAACAGTCTTCGTTGTTTGTTGTTTTTAGTCTCTACGATTTCCTTTTCTTGTTAAAACTGAACCTCGTTAAATACGTAAATCTTAATCTCGTTCAACTTCTACTTTGACTTCTCAGCGAATTGTCTGGGGATTTTTTGCCCGATTTAAGTTGCTAATTTCGAGAGAATGGTGATATGATGTGTAATGTTGCTTGGAAGTCGGTTTCTATAACAATACACTCCATCAAGTCCTTGTTCAAGCGAGAGCGTTTGCATCATTGGCTTTGATCTTGACAGAACTTTGAGAACAGTGCTTCATGTGAACGGAAGTCTCGTTGAGATTATGCGCATCTAGTTGGTCTATGCACGTCTTTTTCGCATTTTCACCCTATCTAGAGAATCAGTTTCGCAGTTTTGACTTGTTACGCACAAGTACACTAGTTATGAATCCTCTGATGTCTGTTTTTTTGTCTTGTTCAAAGATTATCTATGGTCTCTTTGAATCACCTGTAAGGCCTGATTGCGTATCTTTTACGTTGGAACCAACACGACTTTTCAGGTCTCTTTTTTCAGAATGTCAAACGATTGGGGAAATGACTGGGCAGATCCTACTCCTGTGGACAGGCGTCACTCATCTCAGCAACAACCACAACCTCCTCAGTACCAAGCTTACGGGTAAGTTGTTATGTTTGCGCCGTGTAATTTTGGTCGCTTCTTGTTCCGTTTTTCCGTTAGTTGGGTTCTTTTTCTCTTAGCCCGAACAAATATCTTAAATTGCCGTTTTAAGAGGTTACTCTGACAACGGGTCGAATTACTACCAGCAACAGGCGCAAAGCCAGCCTATGATGCCGCCCCAGCAAAGTTATGGGGACTATTATGGACAACAGAACACCAATACGAACACTGGTAAGCACTGCGTAATCACTAATATGTTGCCACTCTGATTTTTTGTGTAAACTTTCTGTCATCTGGCTCCTTTTTTACGTAAAATTTTCATTCATTTTCGTCTTTTTTGGTGATTCTTTTGCGATTTTCCGCAAGGCCGTCTAGCGACTGGCCTTCATTTTTTAAATCATTCATAAAATGGTTGCAAGCTAGCCTTTGGAGATTGGAGTTTTTATGATTGTGATTTTTATGGTAATAAGCATGGACGGTTTGATGAACTATTTCTCATTATGTAAAGAAGGCTAGGGAGTTCCAGAAAGATGTTGCTCAAAGTTCACTTTGTAAGGTATAGGTTATGGTTTCAATGCACCAACATTCATGGCTGATCCGATGTTCCAAGCTGCGCAACAATTCGGAGGGCAGTTTGCTGAGCAACAAAAAGAAAAGGTTCTTGCGCTTAACATCTCTATGGTTTATACTTTCAACATTTTCAAAACATCAGTTTAGCTGTCGAAATACTGGAATGCTTTAAACCTCAAATATTACTTCACTGTGGACAACGCTTATGTGGGAAAGAAACTTGGAATTTTGCTGTTTCCGTTCTTTCATAGTGTGAGCATTGCTAGAAATTCGTTTTGCTCAGCATCTTTCTTCACTGGAGCGTAAGTTGTGAATTTTCAGGACTGGTCTTTGAAATACGGAGGATCAGATCCTGTGCCGGCCAGAGATGATGTGAATGCTCCTGATCTCTACATCCCTTTAATGGCTTTCATCACCTACATAATCGTTTCGGGATTTGTATTGGGAACACAAGGACGGTAAGCAAACGCTTACAAGGTTTTTGATACTTTATGCTTGTTTTCTCAGATTTTCCCCGGAAATACTTGGTATTCTCACTAGTAATGCATTTATTTGGGTTATCATTGAGAATGTTATCATTTTTATCAGCAAGTATGTGTTGAATATCTCGCAGGTAAGAATTCTATAATCTCCTTCACATTTGCAGTCTAACCTAGTAGTTTTCAGAGCTTATCAGTTTGGCACTCGTTAGCGTATAGTACCTACAAGTTTTTTGGGTGAGATGCTACGCCTTGAGCGTCATGCCCATAGCACTTTATCTTGACTTTAGGATGATTATTTGCTTGTTGATGTTTATGGCAGGAGGAAAAACTTTTTATTGGTGCGCCCTTGCATATACAGCTGTGGCTCTTGTCTTTTTCTTGGTAAGTTGTGAATTTGATTTCATCATCTCCTTGTTTTTGACGACATCTGTCTATGTTCCTTGTTGTTTCAAAGATTTAGTCCTTTTTTCCAACAAGTTTATGGCCAGTAGTTTTGTACGTAAAAAACTGGATCCTCAATGTCTTATTTTTACTTTGGATTTGGAGCAGATTTTTTTCGCTCAAAATTTGCTATCAGCGTTATTGTATAGCACTTTTCTCACATCTTTACCATTCTCATGGCATTCTAATGAGTTCATTTAATTTCACATTGTTTTTTCAACATTTTGGTTATCGTCATGACTGGCTGCATCACTTCTTTCCAGTTACGGACAGTGAAAAACTTCATTTTCGATTCGCCGCATTTTGGTGGTGAGGATGGCCGAAAGAGGAAATTGTTCTTGATACTTTTCCTCCTTGTATCACAACCACTTATAATGTGGTGGCTTACCAGGTAAGTGCCATTTGCTCAAGCTCATTCTGTGCTTTTCACTAACCTACATGTTTTGTGTCCTTGTCAACTAATCAGTGAGTTTAGCAATCAGATTTCTACGACGAAACCTAAAGTTGCGTTGGTGGGTTTGGGTGTTGATGATGTGAGTAGCAAATAGATCATTTATGACGCTATCTATCCTATGTTTACTCCTCAGTTAGTTTCGAAGGTGATTTCATGAATTTTTGAGCATAGTATAGTTTCATCATGATAGCTAGTGTTTTTTTTTGTTTCATATTGAACGGAATGTTTTGCTAATTTTTGCGATATCCTCATTTTTCCTGGTGTAGCGATTTATCGAAGACATTCGTTCACGCATTTCTTACAGTGTTATCGAGTAAAAAAAATTCTGGGCGATTATATGAGTCTCTTTAGTTTTGCCATAGATCATATTGGGAAAGCTAGTGTTTTTGAGCGTATGCAGGGTCGAGATCAAACTCTACTCTACGCGTATACTGTCATGCAAGGGTTCTAGAAGGTATACGGCTACTCCTGCCTGTTTAATACAGTTTTTTTAGTTGTAGAGGGCAGTGGCGTACCCAGGATTTCGGCTCGGGGGGGGGGGGGGCGACAAAAATTTTTTCTTAAAGAAGATGCGTGGCGTTAGCCACGCACTCCGAAAAAATTTTTGGGATGCTTCTCAAAATTTTTCCGGGTCCCCGACCCCTAAAATCTGGAAAAAGGGAGCGTGGCGTTAGCCACGCCCCCGAAAAATTTTTTTTTATAAGGCTAAAATGAATTTTTAAAAAACTTTAAAAATTATTTTAATTATTTACAAGTAAAAACAAGTCACTTGCACATTTTTATAACCCATGTAAGTAACTTTCAAAAATTTCGCGATCCGTTCTCGGGGGGGGGGGGGTAGAGGGAGAATACAAATGTTGAGAGTGTTTTTTTGCATGCAATTCGCGTCTTGCTTTGTCAATACTGCGGTGATTTACTGCCACATGCGGCTGATAATGACCAACGACAAAATAGCGAGTCTTTTAAATACTGTATTCATGCTCTATGTTATTTTATCATCACTAACAATCTCACTAGTTGTTGATATCTCTCATATCTGGTTTTTTTGCTAGCTAGTCTGCTTCAAGTGTAGTCCTTCACGTGCATGAGTTGGCATTCTCCCTTTGCTTCCCATCGCACTGGATTTATGTCATTTCACTAATTCTATTTTCAGTGGGGTAACAAACTTTGATCAAAGCAAACTCGGATTTGCTCAGATGGCGATGGGCAAAATGGGTCTTAATAATGTTAAAATCGATGATGTACCTCTTACTGCTGATGGAGATGTTGATTATGAGGCTTTACTAAAGATGCCATAGTAATTTGTATGTAACTTTCCTATACTATAAGCGTAAATTATTTAACAATTGTCTGTGTTAAAAGTGCCAAGTCATAATTAATGAATGTGATTCATGTAAGAACCTCTCCTCGTTGTTTTCTTGGCTTATCACCTTGAGTGTGTGATTAATTACTTTAAAGTTTGGGGTAATGTATGAGATTAAAGGGCTATTGAATGTCGGTTGTTTATGTTTGCTTTGGTCTATAAACTTCGACAAGTAAATTAGTAAGTTGAGTTGGTTGAGATATGGGCCATAAATATAGAGTAAGTTCTCTACAAAGAAATGCACCAGTGGACGATTTGTACGCATTTCTCAGCTGGTGAATTGTGCTCTAGGAGCTTTTCCATGGCCTATGATGTCCGGTAACTAATATCTGAAAAAAAGTATGGTTGTGAGGTGGTACTTACTCGGCTCCGGGAATCACGTCTACGCCGCTTCACAAAGACTACCCAAGTCTTATTGTGTGTATTACTTACCATTCGAGCAGTCGGAAGTAAGTACAAGTCAGCGGTTGTTGTTATTTTGAGGCTATAAATACGGTAATGGACATATCTGTTGCTGTTTTTTGTTATATGCATTTATAGTACAAAGCAGGCAAGCTATGTAATGGCCAAAGTTAAGATGTTCAGACTCTTCCAATTAGCCTGCGTTTTGGAATGAATCAAGCGCTGATTGCTTGCGAACATCTCTTTGTGGGAGCCTTAGCGTAGTTCATCGGATTTTCTCTTGTTTGTTTCTTCTACAATTTTTTCCCCATAGCGAACAGCAACGTAGATTAGGCATTGTTTTATTTTTTCCTATTTGAATGGGAAAGCCTATCGCTAAGTGTGATCGATATTCGAATAATTATTGATTCTGAATAACATGAAAAATATTTTAGTCTCATGGAAGAGCGGGATGTCTTGAGACAGTTTGCAATATTTTTGTGTTATTTTCCTGATTCTAAAGATTGCTGTAATACAAACCTTCCTTGTGAAAATCAGTCAAAAGCGAAACTGCTCGGTATGATTTTTAGAGCTGACGAATCTATATTTCTCAGTCTTTATAAGTACAATATCCTTTGAAAATTTTATCGTATCCCAAAACATGTTGTTTGTTGATTTTCTGGAGGTGGCTACAAAGTTCGGATGTACTTTTCAAATATGGTTAATAAGGCCAAATATCCGTGAAAACATCAACGAAAAATTTTATTACTCTAGTATTTTTTTCCTCCAAATAACAGCTGGACACTATATAAACCTCCTTCGGTGGTGAGTTACAACTTGGATTAACTGTGAATTGTAAAAAATGGGAATGAAATCTTTTAGGCATCTAGGTATTCCCAGGCAATTTTTATTTTATCTGGGCACTATCAAGGATTTTGAAATACAGTATATACTTGTAGAAAGGAGCTTTCGTATTGATTGATTAGCTGAAATTGTTAAAGTTAAGAGGGAGATACTTTCTGCATCCAGGCTTTGCCAGGCGATTTTTATTTTATCTATGGAGTTTGAAGGTTTTCAAAATATGATATGTATTTGTAAAAAGGAGCTTTCATAGTTTTTTAGGCAGCGGACATTATTAGGAATCCACAAACATAAATCTAATTTCCTTGTTGAGAAGATTTCTTTGGTAAGATGAGTTTAAAAAGGAGTTTTTATTCTTGAGCGCAAATATGTATTTCTTTTTTTTTGGAGAAGCTCTAACTGGAAAAGTTGTGGGTAGACATCCAGAAGAACTTCGGCCCCCTACAGTCGTTTTATTCCTCTCACTCTTACTCTCCTCGCAAGCAAACAATTCTCAACTTGATTTGCTGAAAAAGTTTTTATATTTGTGCATCGGGTAAGAACCTTATGTCAACAATCACGCGGGTGTCTACTATTCCTGCTTCTTGGGCACAAGTTCATTGCTCAGGAAAAGGTTGGAAATCAACCTTTGGCCTTTCTTCGAGATCTCAATAACTTGCAGAGGGCCATGGTGGCTGCAAAATTGTTCCAAATAAACGCAATAGTTCTCTGATTCTTTTCTATTTGGTGGTTCTTCGAGTGTTGTTTGCTTTTACTCTCTATTTTCTTTTTCTCTGGTGAAGTTCTAGAAAGATTTTGAGTTGCAGGGACGGTCTTTGATACACAAAAGTGACAAAGTGACTTTGTGAATACAATTACTAAGAACAAGACATTCCGCTTGAAAAAAAAGTCTAACTCTGTACCTGTCACATCTCTCCACGGGTCTCCTTAATTGACATCTGACAGTAGCTATAGCATAGGATTTTATTAGCTTTTGGATTGGATGGGTTGCATATGTGGAGATGCTATTGCAGTAAACCCGCCCATTTGGTCGGCCATAACTATTCAACAAATGGTATTGTCTTTTCTGATTAGCTTTGTGAAGAGGCTGAAGAATTTGATGAACGTCTTGTGTTGCTCAAGGAGCGAAAAGCACAAGGTGAGATTTTTTCAATTATATCTTCATTTTCTAGTTATTGTTTCGCAACTACATACGGTAAGATATTAGATTGTAACATAAGTTTTATTGCACTTGAAAGAAAATGATAATTCATATTTTTTGATTCTTTCATAATTTCCACAAAAACTTTTTCTCATTTCCAAATTGAGTGGAGGGCTGTTACTTTCCAATATATACATGCACATGTGGAAAATCCAATTTTGAATTTTTTGGAATTTTTCCGAATTATTTTTGGCTATCCAACTTGCGCTATTGAACAGCCTAGCCAAATTTCCCTCTTGTAAGTTCTGATGTCCCTCGAAATCCAGCAAAAATTCAAGAGCATAAAAAATTCAAGAATGAGAGGTTTTAAAGGCAAATGAAAAAAAAATGGAGATTTGAATGCCGTCACAAAATTGCCTATATATTAGCTCGTTCCGAAAGTTCTTTCCGTTTTCTCAACCTATCATAAAAACACGAGGAATGAAGGTAGCGAAACGCTTCAGGCACTACCCGACGCAGCTTTTCCCCTCTTTTCAACTTTCATATTCTTGTGCCGCTTGCCCTTGTGATCAGTGAGATAATGTCTGAATTTTCGAACCCATGGTTTTCACGGTGTCCAACTTTGGCAATTTTTCACGATCTTCTTTTTTTGGCTTTTGGAGAAGCTTTGATAGCAGTCAGATAGAGCAAACAAAGTGCGATTTAATGCAATTTTTCGGCGCCTATAGCTAGCCTTAAAAATTCTTTAGAATTATTTTTCTGATGCTATCAAATTCCACTTTTGGTGATGCCAAGAATCATAGAACATACAGCGCACAACTAAGGTGTCATTCGATGCAGCTTTTCCTCCTCTTTCTATTGAGTATTTTTCTTTCCAATTTGTGGGATTTTTTGACGATAAAATTTCCATAATTCTTGATTTTGAACCCGCCTAAGGGTGTACACGCGAAAAACGAAATCTTATATTTCGAAGCGGTAAACACTGAGCTACTTTGTAAAAATAGTGGACAATCATAAACGACTTTTGAAAGTGTCGAAATCCGAAGATTTCTTAATGTTCGGAGCGTTTTTGTTTTTTGTGACTTCGAAAAAGTGAAGACTTCTGGAAAAATTATCTCAAAAAATACTAAGAAGGCAGTTAAAGTTGCCAAAAAATTCCATTAGATTGCACTCTGTTTACTCTATCTGAGTTCTATTGAAGCTTTTCCAAAAGTCAAAAAAGAAGGATGTGAAATATTGCCAAAGTTGGACACCGTGAAAACCATGGGTTCGAAATTTCAGACATTATCTCACGGATCATAAGGGCAAGCGGCACACGAATATGACAGTTGAGAAGAGGAAGAAAAGCTGCGTCGGGTAGTGCCTGAAGCGTTTCCCTACCTTCATTCCTCGTGTTTTTATGATAGGTTGAAAAAAGGGAAAGAACTACGGAACGACCTAATATTTACTGTAACTATACCGTAAAGGTGGAAATGATACCAACAGATACTCCTTTGTCCACTGCTCATTGCGCCAAATATTAGACTTTATCAAAGTTGTTATAGTTTCAAAAGAAAATGAAAAAAGTGTCTCAAAACTTATGTTCGATCTAGTATTTATAAAGTAAACCAAGATTTTTCTACGATTACTCAGTAGGAAGAAAAAGAGTGTGCACATGCACCCTGCTTGTGTACAACACATCGAAAAAAGAGGATTGCTCGGTTTTTCCGGAAAAATATTAGGTTGAACCGAAAGTTCTGTCCCTCCATTTTCAAAAATTCGTAACTTCGCCAGATTTCAACGGATTTGCTTGCTCGTAATTTTATTAGAAAGAATAGATCTTCCGCTTTCAAGCGCTGTTTTATGTAGCTTCTGCTTCGCACTGAGTGCCGAGGTAAAAATGGAAAACTAAGACCATGTAAAGTTTGACCATTTTAAGTTAGGTCACCAAAAATCTGGAATGCTGCAGAAAAATCTGAAATCGTCAGTACATATGTTTTTTGGCCTACTCTTTGCAATTGTGAAGAGTTTGCGCTGTTTGGACGTTTCTGCGAGAAGTTATGATTTTCACGAAAATTGCCAAATTAATTAATTTTGGCGTTATCCATAGTAAACTCGATATTCATAACTTCTCACAGAGATGTCCAAACAACACAAACTTTTCACAGATGCAAAGGGTAGGCCAAAAAACATATGTACTGACGATTTCAGATTTTTCTGCAGCATTCCAGATTTTTGGTGACCTAACTTAAAATGGTCAAAGTTTACATGGTCTTAGTTTTCCATTTTTATCTCGGCACTCAGTGTGAAACAGAAGCTCCGCAAAACAGGGCTTGAAAGCGGAAGATCTATTCTTTCTAATAAAATTACGAGCAAGCAAATCCGTTGAAATCTGGCGAAGTTACGAATTTTTGAAAATGGAGGGACAGAACTTTCGGTTCAACCTAATATAAAACTAGTAGTTCACAGCGCTTTTTTTTGTGATTTTGGTAATCAAAAGAAATTGATACAGACTAGAGTATTTATACAAGCATCTAAAATCAGTGAGAAATTTTATTCTGTTTTGTTGTAGCGCCGTGTGAAGAAAGAGCCATTCTGACGACGTTGCTCACCCCATTACAAAATCTATCTATCTATATATAAAAAAAATCCTTCTATTCAAAAAGACGAAGTTGCGGGAAACGGCGCGGCTCCCGCAGCGGAGCTCGTGCAAATCTAGCACCTTTAGATTACTGGTTCGTTCACTAGCCAATAAAGAACAATCAGGAAAATCAAAGATAATCTTTGAAGCCATAATAATGAC